GGCCTTAATGGGCTTTAGTGGAAAGGAGGGAAAAGGAGAAGGGAGGGGCGCCCCCCCCCCAAGCCCAATTCGAATTGGGAGGGGGGCCCGGCCCCCTTTCCTTCCTCCCTCCTTCCTCTTCCTTCCCTCTCCCTCTCCAAATAGGAAAAGGAGGAGTCTACTCCCAGTGGGAGTAGGACTCCCCCCTTGGGCGCGCCTCCTCCCCTTGGCCGGCCCTCTCCTCCCCCCTTTATATACGGAGGAGAGGGGCACCCCATAGACACAACAATTGATCTCTTGGATCTTTTAGCCGTGTGTGGTGCCGCTCTCCACCATAGTCCACCTCGATAATATCATAGCGGTGCTTAGGCGAAGCCCTGCGATGGTAGAACATCAACATCGTCACCACGCCGTCATGCTGACGGAACTCTCCCTCAAAGCTCGGCTGGATCGGAGTTCAAGGGACGTCATCGAGTTGAATGTGTGCAGAACTCGAAGGTGTCGTGCGTTCGGTACTTGATCGGTCGGATCGTGAAGACGTACGACTACATCAACCACGTTGTGCTAACGCTTCCGCTTTCGGACTATGAGGGTACGTGGACACACTCTTCCCTCTCGTTGCTATGCATCATCATGATCTTATGTGTGCGTAGGATTTTTTTTTTGAAATTACTACGTTCCCCAATAGGTACAACCCATCTAGACGCGCCAGGAGAGGGGAGCACGCCCTGGTGGGTTGTGCCCACCTAGGTGCCCCTCTCCGGTAGGTCTTGGCTCCAGAAATTCTTATATATTATATAAAAATTGCTCAAAAAGTTTCATTCCATTTCAAGAACTTTTATTTCTGCACAAAAATAACACCATGATAGTTCTGTTGAAAACAGCGTCAGTCCGGGGTTAGTTTCATTCAAATCATTCAAATTAGAGTCCAAAACAACAGGAAAAGCATGAGAAAAAGTAGATACATCGAAGACGTGTCACTCCACAACATACATTTAGAAGCTGGACATCACAAGGCAGATGGTTATTCCAGCTTGACATCTCAGCATGTACGCATGTATCCAAACCATTTTATTTATTTCAACACAAAAGTATTCGTTACACAACCATGACAGTGGATAGTAGATACATTCAACAGAGACTGAATTAACATAGAAATGAAGCAACAAAGGGCAGTCCGAGCAAAGGAACTACATTGGACTACAACATGGGACTAGAGCTACCATTTCTATTTCTACCAGCAGTTGTAGACGCTTGCAAGAGAGGGGGGACTACCAAGGAGCTAAACTAACAATGGCCATCAATCATCAATCAATGACAGTAGAAATGAGTGGTAGCGGCAACGTTCGAGAGACCCCCTCCCCCTGCTGCTGCTGCTTGGTGTGCCTGCTATTGCTTGCTGTGCTGCATCACTAGTCACCCTGCACGCAACAAGAATTTTAGCTTTACATAAGGTTTACAAGAACATGACCCTGATACATGAGATTGACATTCACAAGCTATTTGCATTTTTATTTAGAACTGCGTCACACCATTTACATTACTAGTTATGTATTGACATACTTATCTAAAAGAACATATATACAAACATATGAATTTTATTTCAGAATACCAATACAGAAGTACTAAAAAAAGACTAAACATAAGTAGAAGGTAACAAGAGCTCATTACACAAGTTTTGCTAGCAATTAGGGGACCCTGGTACCTATACTGACCACATTTGGGCATATCCTACCATACCAATGGCTAAATAATGCAACTTTATGACTGTCAAGTAGGCCTATAGATCGATGACGGAGCAGACTCAAACATTACAAACACAACAGCTGATGCATGCCATGGAGCACGATCTCAATGTTGTTCCTCGTCTATTAAACTTAAGGACAAGAAAAGCACTCTGGTTGCATCTTTTGCAGACACGACAACATACACGAGACAAATTAACAAACAAGAGGTGCAGATCCGGAACCGGTCGTCATCATCAATTAAGTGTTTCATCAATGTGCACTGATTAAAGGGCACATACTAACCTATACCAATGCTGATAACCCCCACAAACAGACAACCATGGCTCAATATAATGACCAGCCAGAGTTTTACCTTTGTTTTAGCCATGGACGCTAGCTGTTGAGCAGAGCCGAGTAGGGGGAGGAGGACAATCGCGGCAAGAAGAAGAGGTTCCTTGACTTGATGACCACTAGATGTACATCATGCCTTCCCGGAGTAAATAGAAGGAGAACGGGCGAGACGATGCAGCAGGGAGAGACAGTGAAGATAGTTCTTCAATTTCAGTGAAGATAGTTCACCTTCTATGTGTATAGTAAATGACACCAGCATGTCAGAAGATAATAGACCAAATGTGCATGAAAGACAATACAATAAACACCATCTTGTTTATAGCAAGACAATATAGTAGCATGTCTCTAGCACATCATCTCGTTTAAAGAATGCATTCAGGCAAGAAATGGACAGCTGGTCTAATTTTCTCACACTTGGCATTTTCACAGTTAACACCATCATGTACAAAACCAAGCTGCTCCAGGCTGGTCAGTTGACTGATACTACTAGATAAGCAAAGCAAACTACTACCAAAACAAGAACCAGACATGGCAAGCAAAGTGCCAGCATTTTACTCATAGCAAAGCAAACTACTACCAAAACAAGAACCAACATTTTACTCATAGCATGCAAAGTATCAATATTCTGTTCTTATCAGCTTATTCTTATGCCTAAAGCAAGGCGATCTAAATTTACTCATAGCATCACTCTTGCTCATATACTCATATAAGAGAAGTCTAAAAAAGACTACGACAGTAGCTAACTAATGCTACAAATTATATTGCCGATGCATACTTTGTGATGAGAAAAATGGTTATATCATCATCTGACGACATTCAACATGTACACTATACAAAAGAAACTGGAATTTCTCCCTCGATTGCTTATTCAAGCTAGTTTAGAGTTACAGACGAATGTTCATACTGTCCCTTATATTTTATAGCTAGGATCACACCATTGTCAGTTGTAACCACAATGGGAATGTCTCTTATCATTTGAACAACCTGAGACACAAGTTACAGAACAAGCTACTACCTGATGCTGATGCTGTGCTACTACTACCTGATACTGTATGGGGACCTCTCTTATCATTTGAACAAGTTACAGAACAAGCTACCGCACACATGTATTGACCGTCCTACTACTACCTGATGATGTGCTACTACTTAGAGGAAGAGGGGGAGGGAGATGGAGATGGAGATGCTACCTGCCGTTGTAGGTCTATCATGGTTCTGCTTGGGACGGTCGGAGATGGACTCCCCCATGTTGTGTACCATATGGGTGGGCAGCATCCACATCGCCCGTCTCCTGAGCACCCCGCCGATGAAGCCCCTGAGCATGTTCATGCGGCCACTGCACCACCCCACCCTGAAAACCAGTAAGACACAAAAAACGTCAGATCTGAGCCGTCCTACCTATGCACAAATGTGAGAAGAAGATGGGAGATGGGCGGTGCTGTCAGTGTAATATTTTTTTGGTGTACTATAAAATTGCATGCAACATAAGATTAACTCTTTATTGTTTGATTGACAGGAAACAACATGAATTTTAGTCCCGCAACCTCTCTTATTGACTAACTAGAACCAAGGAAACAACCCTGACAGTACAACTGACACAGCAGAAGATTTTATTAGACTAGGTGAACCTTCTGAAATCTCTGTATTTCGTGTAAATACAGTCAAATTGAAAAAAGTAAGAACTTCGATTACCCAGGCTGAAATCATATACTACAATAGGCAGTTGGCATCTCGGCATTTATCAGAGGCTGCCCACAATAAAGCTTCCTCTTCTTGGAGCCACGATGCAACTATTTCTAATCTAGCAGTCATTGTATAATGCATAAAATGCATCCACAATAAAGCTTCTGTTCTTGCTAAGAACTGTACCTTTATTCAGTGGCGGCGGTGGTTGCCCCTCTTCTTGGAGCCACGATGGTGGGCTCGCTGATATGCCTCCCATGCCTATTGCTGGCAGAGGCGTTTGATTGTCATGGCGTTCGTCCCTGCACCTTGGGCAACTGGGTGCATCGGTGCACCATCCATGCGATTTGGGGCATCAATCTGATCGATTGCAACAAGGCAAGTTCATGCTAGTGAGAGACGTAAGCAAACACCTAGCGCTCAGCACCCGATCCAAATAGACACATGAGCGAGACAAATGATCGAACACCATACGAGCTATACTAGCAACAGTAGGAAACAAGATGGTCAGAGCATGCACCGAGCGTTGCAGGGGTGTCATAGAACATGCTGCAGGCCTGCACAACAGTGGCCCGCATGATGGTGGCACCCTGATCGGCACGATGACGGACTGGTGGAGGTCGGATCCAGCGACGCAGGAGGCCATGGCGCGGCGCTGGATCGCAGCTCCACCCACAACGAGATGAACTAGGGGCATGACGCATCGTTGCCCGAGAAGAAGCACACGGGCGCCCTCCTCTATCGGTTAAGATGGCGGAGGAAGCAGCAAGGTCCCCCACCTCCTCCCCCGCCGCGTGAGTGTGAAGAAGGCGTGGCCTTGGGCTGCGGAGGCGGAGGCATTCACCTGGTCCTGGAGCACGGAGCACCTCTGTCCCAGCCGCCGTCAGCCGCGCCAGTGGAAATCCGACAGCCCTCGAAGCCTTCGTCGACGAGGACGAGGCCGTCGGCCATGACGACGAGCCATGGGGTGCACGCCACAGATCTGAGAGCGCCGCCGTGTCACCTGCTCGATCTGGAAGCGGGACCGCCGAGGGAGAGAAGGTGAGGGGGGAGGAGAGGGTGGGGCGATGGCAGAGCAGGCAGACGATGGAGGGGGGAGGAGAGCAGAGTGGCCGCGTCGGGAGAGGAAGAGAGAGGGGTTGGGAGGTCGAGGCGGCGATCGGGAAGGGAGGAGGCGAGCTCTCGCTCTCGCTCGATCTGGTTGGAAAGAAGGAGGTGGGGGTGGATGGAAAATGACCACGAGGACAGAGCTACGGTTGGTGTGGAAGAGTTAAGGACTACCGTTGGATCCGCGAGCATCCGACGGTGTTTGATGCACGATTCACGTGAGACATCCATAGACCAATCAGAATGCAGTACGACGTTGTGATCATCTAAATTGGTCATAGTTGACTAAAAATAATGTGTTAAAATCATGTCAGCAATTTTGTGACATGAGAAATTCAAAAAAATAGAATATATTCGCATAAGTTTGCATCTTGGAATAGTTTAGTCAAATGAGATTATATTTTGCACAAGTTTGCTTCTTGGAATGAGATACAATGTTTCCTAGTTTTCATTTTTTTTGCATCGAAAATTTCATTTTTCATTTTTTGAGAGCCTAGAATTAGTTTTTTTTGAACGACCTACCATATATTTGTTGTAAAATTGGACCAAGTCATTTTTCTAGTATATTAGGACATATTTAATGTACAACCAAATGTTTGGGTGTCCAAAGTTTTTATCCACCTCTCGTGAAAAAGACAAATTTACGCCCTGAAAGCGGGTCAAATTTGAACTGTAGCTGCCTCATTATTTGATCTTTATTTTTTTCCAAAAATCATTTCTAGGTATATAAGTATCTATTTAATCAAAGAAACACCAAAAGTTTTCCAAGATCCAACCACTAGCTAGGAACAGTCATGCCCGCTGTTTTGACCGCGTTTTGAAACAGGCATGAAAAATTCAAAAAAATCAAAAAATTAGAAAACTTCGCATTGTGTCATTATATGTGACCAAGTTAGAAAAAATAATAAACTTATAATACGACAATTATTTTAAAAAAATATTCTCAGAAACGAGCTATCATGTGTGAAGATCAATGCCATTCAAGCCAAATGATGAATGTTATGGCCACATTCATAGCATAGTTTCTTCAAATAATCTAATATTTGTGCACAAGGGTGCATCTTGGAACAGCAAACAATGTTGCCTAAGGAAGATTTCATTTTCTTGGGATGAAAATTCATTTTTCCATTTTTCGAGTGCCCAAAATGAGTCTTTTTGTGAACGATTTACCATATATTTGTTGTAAAATTGGATCAAGTCATTTTTCTAATATATTAGGACATATTTAATGTACAATTAACTAAATGGTTGGGTGTCAAAAGTTTTTGTCGACCTCTCGTGAAAAAGACAAATTTCCATCCATTCAATTGGAAGCGGGTCAAATTTGAACTGCAGTTGCCTTATAGTTTGCTCTTTAATTTTTTCCAAAAATCATTTCTAAGTACATAAGTATCTATTTAATCAGAGAAATATCCAAAGTTTTCCAAGATTCAACCACTAGTTAGGAACGGTCATGCCCGCCGTTTTGACCGCATTTTGAAACCGGCATGAAAAATAAAAAGATTCTTCGCAATGTGTCCTTATATGTGACCAAGTTACTAGAAAAAATAATAAACTTGTAATATGGTAATTATTTTAAAAAAGTATTCTCAGAAACGAGATATCATGTGTGAAAATGCATGGCTTTCAAGCCAAATGATCAATCTTATGGCCACATTCATGGCATAGTTTGTTCAAATGATCTCATATTGTGCACAAGGGTGCATCTTGGAATTGCAAACAATGTTTTCTAAGGAAGTTTTCATTTTCTTTGGACGAAAATTCATTTTCCATTTTTCAAGTGCCCAAAATGAGTTTTTTGTGAAGGACCTACCATATCTTTGTTTCAAAATTGTACCAAATCATTTTTCTAAAATATTAGGCCATATTTAATGCACAATTGACCAAACGGTTGGGTGTCAAAAGTTTTGGTCCACCTCTCGTGAAAAAGACAAATTTTCATCGATTCAGTTGGAAGTGGGTCAAATTTGAACTGCAGCTACCTATAGTTTGCTCTTTATTTTTCCAAAAATCATTTCTAGGTACATAAGTATCTATTTAATCAGAGAAATATCAAAAGTTTTCCAAGATTCAACCACTAGCTAGGAACTGTCATGCCCGTCGTTTTGACTGCATTTTGAAACGGACATGAAAAATTCAAAAAAAAATTGGAAAACCTTCGCATTGTATCATTGTATGTGACCAAGTTACCAGAAAAAATAATAAACTTGTAATACGGTAATTGTTTTTAAAAAGTGTTCTCAGAAACGAGCTATCATGTGTGAAGATGCATGGCTTTCAAGCCAAATGATCAATCTTATGGCCACATTCATCGCATAATTTGTTCAAATGATCTCAAATTGTGCACAAGGGTGAATCTTGGAATGGCAAACAATGTTGCCTAAGGAAGTTTTCATTTTCTTTGGACGAAAAATTCATTTTCTATTTTTTGAGTGCCCAAAATGAGTTTTTTGTGAAGGACCTACCATATACTTGTTGCAAAATGGGACCACGTCATTTTTGTAATATATTAGGCCATATTTAATGTACAATTGACAAAAATGTTGGTTGTCAAAAGTTTTTATACACCTCTGGTGAAAAAGACAAATTTCTACCGATTCAGCAGGAAGCGGGTAGGGTCATGTCGTAGTAAATTTTTAGCAATTATAAATTAACATAAAATATAGTTGCTTCACAAACTGAAAATATTACCAGAAACAAAGATTGGATGGTGGGCTCACATGGATTGTTAGATGGGGCTCAAATTTTGTGGAGAGATTTGATTTGGGAATATAGAAGATGTGGTAAAAATTCAGCTCATTAGGATATGCCTAGCTAGTACTTCCTTCACAACGGTTCTAGCTGAAAAAAACTTTGGAATTTTTTTGAGGAAGATTTACCAAGCAAATGGAGCTGAATATTGTCATGGGGCAATGATTTGGATAGTAAAGAATGCCCTTTTTTGGGGGAATTTTGGGAATGACAGAAATATAGGTTGCTTCACAACCTAGGGCAAACATTGACACATAGACATGACACACAGGCAAAACTGATGAGGTGGCACATAGTCATAGCAATGCACCACAATTTACAAGGCTGTGACCATCTATATTGGTCGTTATCAGCTAGAAATAAGGCAGTGGACTAGTGCTGTTTGCTTTACGACCATTTCGTGTAAGGAAATTACGACCTTTCTGACCAAAATGCTCGTTATAGTTTAGGGTTTGGAGCCCCCCGTACAACTGTTGACCAATTGGTCTCAAATGGTCGTAGATTTACGACCAATTCTTCCAGGGTCACTGACAGAAGGTCACAAGTTGACATATTTCTTGTAGTGCTAGTGTATTAAGTTCATGGAGAAATGGAGTAATGCAATAAGAACAGTGGCATGATGTAGACAAGATCTACTCATATAGGAATAGACCCCATCTTGTAATCCTTAATAGCAATGATACATACGTGTCGTTTCCCCTTCTGTCACTGGGATCGAGCACCGTAAGATCGAACCCATCACAAAGCACCTCTTCCCATGGCAAGAAAAATCGATCTAGTCGGCCTAACTAAACCAAAGATTCGAAGAAGAAATACGAGGCTATAAGTAATCATGCATATAAGATATCAAAAGACTCAAATAACTTTCATGGATAAAAACATAGATCTGATCATAAACTCAAAGTTCATCGGATCCCAACAAACACACCACAAAAAGAGTTACATCAAATAGATCTCCAAGAGACCACTGTATTGAGAATCAAAAGAGAGAGAGAGGAAGCCATCTAGCTACTAACTATGGACCCGTAGGTCTACAATGAACTACTCACACAACATTAGAGAGGCACCAATGAGGATGATGAACCCCTCCGTGATGGTGTCTAGATTGGATCTATGGTTTCTAGAACTTGCGGCGGCTAGAATTGGTTTTTGTCGACTCCCCCAGGGTTTCTGGAATATTGGGGTATTTATAGAGAAAAGAGGCGGTGTGGGAGGCCACCGAGGTGGGAACAACCCACCAGGGCATGCCTGGGCCCCCAGGCGCGCCCAGGTGGGTTGTGCCCCCCTCGGGGCACCCCTCCGGTACTTCTTTGGCCCATCGTGTGTCTTTTGGCCTAGAAAAATTCTCCAAAAAGTTTCGCTGCGTTTGGACTCATTTGGTATTGATTTTCTGCGAAGTAAAAAACAAGCAAAAAAACAACAACTGGCACTGGGCACGATGTCAATAGGTTAGTCCCAAAAATGATATAAAGTTGCTATAAAATGATTGTAAAACATCGAAGAATGATAATATAACAACATGGAACAATCAAAAATTATAGATATGTTGGAGACGTATCAGCATCCCCAAGCTTAATTCCTACTCGTCCTCGAGTAGGTAAATGATAAAAATAGAATTTTTTATGTGGAATGTTGCCTAACATGTTGAACACATATTATTTTCTTTGTAGCATGGACATTTGGACTTTTATATGATTCAAAGCAATAGTCTAGTTTTGACATGAAGATTTCAATACTCAAGCATATCAACAAGCAACCATGTCTTTCAAAATATCAACACCAAAGCAAGTTATCCCTAGCCCATTATACTCAATCATTGTAAAGGAAATATGCCCTAGAGGCAATAATAAAGTTGTTATTTATATTTCCTTATATCATGATAAATGTTTATTATTCATGCCAGAATTGTATTAACCGGAAACTTAGTACACGTGTGAATACGTAGACAAACAGAGTGTCCCTAGTATGCCTCTACTTGACTAGCTCGTTAATCAAAGATGGTTAAGTTTACTAGCCATGGACATGTGTTGTCATTTGATGACAGGATCACATCATTAGCTTAGCACTATGATCGTTTAGTTTGTTGCTATTGC